CTACAAGGTAATCTATCCTTTTTGTCCATGAAATTTCATTCTAAATCTTTTGCCTTATTCTCCTTTCGTTGAAAAATTCAACCTAACCTCAGGTTTTTCTTTTTCAGGCCCGCTATCAGCTTGTACATCCTTCAACTGATCGAGATAATTGTATCAAACTTTCTAGCTCTGGTGTTTCTACACCGCCTGCCCTTCCCCCGCATCAGAAGCTCTCATTTAATCGCTCATCACTAGGACTTCAAACTTCTGATCAACCTCCACTGTCTCTAACCCCTCCTGTCAGGATGGAATCCCGAGGGCGCCATACCCAGCGTAACTTTTACCGTCAGCAACCACCAATTAACGACGGCACTTTGAGGCCATCTTCCGTTGGCTCTTCATATATCTCATTTCAGAATGATGATGAGTTAGGTACAGATAAGCTACTCTCTCCCCATGACTTTGCTGATGCTTGCCACGAGGGTGAGCAGCCACTGGCCCTTTCAAAGCATAGGGTAAGTTGGTTCAATTGATAATCATACTTTCTTTTTTTCCCAGTGCTTTATTTTTTTAACTATGTATTTATAGGTAATTCTTTTCAAATTTTGCTCCTTTGAGGCCATGTTTACTGTCATTTAACTTAATGTCATTAGAAGTGAGTTGACCTCGTCGCAACTTGGTCTTGCTGTCAGGGCGACTTAGTCGAACGCACCTTGTCCGAAGTCCCTTGACATAGTAGTTATCCAAATTCCCAGCATCAGATCGTGGACTTAGTACACTCGTCTATAAATCGAAGGGAGACTGCGACCATACCGTTGACACCATCTTGATCTTCATATTTTCGATTAATTTCAGTAGGTTATCATATATCCTTTGCATAAGTATCATTCAGTTACTACCATCCTGAAGGCACCCTAGATTAATATTTTTATATGCTAGCCGCCATAAAGGATACAAATAATCCTATCTCATCGTTATGGCCCTTACGAAATTTAAAATTTATTTATATTTCATTGATTTAGTACTTCCAAATGCTCTAGTCGTTCAGGATATAATTAATCTATATATTACCTCACAGCTT